TCAGGAAGAAGCTTGGGGCCATTAAAAAGTCTTTGCAAATATCAGAAGTCAATCCAGCCCTCTCTCAGGAAGTTGGTTAACATGTTGAATCCCTTACTTTGCATTGCTTAAAGTGGCTGTAGTTATAAAAATTATCAAATAATCCTTTTGGCCAGAGCCTAGCAAACAGATTTCTTAATCCTATGTTTGGTTAGATTATTTTGTTCAGTTGTGGTTACTGTGGAATTTTTAGTTGAGTGACAAAGTGTTTGCCTATATGCATAATGCACTCTACATGTATATTTTACCTGCTGTCAAATTGTTCTTTTCCCTTTTAGCAGAGTCGAAGCTTTTGTTTTGTGTGGGGGAGGAGAGGAAGTTTCGAGAAAGTGCATTTGAAATGCTAAGAATCATAAAGCAATGTAAAACATTCATCTAAGCATCTATCTCAAAGGACTCCCAAGTAAGTGCTATCAACCATGCTTTGTTGATATAAAACCTTAGTCACAGAGAAACTGTTTGACTTTCCCAAGGTCATTCAGCAAGGCTGTCATTCAGCTTTTAGAATGCACTTAATGGTATTGGACCATCTGCTTTTGCAACTTTTATGCTGAATTATGCTTACAATTGCCACAAATCAATGGCTCAACAATGACTTGAATTACCAGATGGTTGAAGAGGGAATTTCGATGTTCCTGACACAAGGTCATCTAACAAGCAAATGACAGAGTTAGAAAAAGCAAGCTTGCCTAAATACTCCCATTGCCTGTGTTAAAGTAAATGTGAAGAATTATTCTATGTCCTTTGAGAAGCACAGCCAAGATACTTTTGAAATTTCTACTTGTTTGCAGCTGTTTGATAACAATAAACAATAAGTACAACTCAGGAGAAAGAAACATTTTAAACAACATCTAGTACAGCACAGGCGAATTGAGTAAGATACGTAAGAGGGAAATGTTTAAGATCTTGCTGGCAGCAAAATAAATGCTGTGGAGAAGGGGAGTGTGAAAAGAAACAAGAAAACCTAAGTCTCAACAGATATCGGCAATCACAGCTTTGGAAAAAGGGCACAGCTGATACTGACTTTGCTCTGAAGAAATAACATCAGGTGTCATTCTCTAGTTCATTTGGAGAGTAAAGTGAAAAGAATACAGGAAATAAAAGTTTATTCAGGGAGTGAGTGCTTATTCAGTGAGTTATTCAGATTTTCTTTGTTCAACATGCAATCAAAAGTTAGGTTGTTCAAAGGGATGCAGGCAGTGAGCTTTCTTTCTTTCTTTCTTTCTTTCTTTCTTTCTTTCTTTCTTTCTTTCTTTCTTTCTTTCTTTCTTTCTTTCTTTCTTTCTTTCTTTCTTTCTTTCTTTCTTTTCTTTCTCACAGTTAATGCTTCTGGGGGAAAGATTACTTATCCAAAACAACAAACATTTATTTTGGCTAGGCAATGGGGTCAAGTGACTTGGCCAGGGTCACACAGCTAGTAAGTGTTATGTGTCTAAGGCTGGATTTGAACTCAGGTCCTCCTGACTCCAGGGCCAGTGTTTTGTCCACTGTGCCACCTAGCTGCCCCCAGCAAACATTTATTAAGCACCTACTATGTGTTGGATATAAAGAAGATAGAGAACTCCCAAAAGAGGAAACTCCCTCTAGGGACGCAAGCCAGTACCTTCTCTACAACTTATAGTCTTAAGGAGTTGATTATAACACCTAGAGGTCAAGTTTTTTTGCCCAGGGTCTCACAGCACGTGTCAGAGGCTGAACTTGAACAGCATTCTTCTTGGCCCCAAGGCCAGCTCTCTAGCCAAGGCAAGGTCCTGCCTTGCCCTCAGGGGCTTACATTCTATTAGGAGTAACAACATATAAACAAGAATGTAATTATATGATAATTACAAAAGCCCAGAAGAAAGTGAGAGATTTTCAACATGCAGAGCTGGGGAGGAAGTATATTCCAGGCAGGGACAACTGGAGAAAATGTATTGGAGGCTGAAAAGAGAAAGTTGAGTTGGAGATATATCAAGTAAACCAATTTGTCTAGAATGGACAGTGCTTGAACGGGAGTCATGTACAAATACCTGCAAAGGCAGGCTGGCTTAAGTTTGTGAAGTGTTTTAAATACCCAATTAGGGAGTTAGCATTTTATCCTACAGTTAATAAAGAGTCAAGAAAGGTCCTTAAGTAGAGGAGAGACATGGTCAGACTTGTGTTTTAGGAAGATTATTTTAGCAGCTGTAAGGGGGATGGTTTGGGCTCATGAGGGGAGACTGGTGGCTGGATCAAATAATTTAGGTGACTAGAAAGAGAGGGTGGCAGTGTGGGTGGAGAGAAAGGGAGGGATGGAAGAATATAGGAAATGATGGGGAGGTAGACTATGATGTCTTATAGTACTGACTTATTTGTTGGTGGGTTTTCTTCCCTTTATGTGACTCTACCATTCCAGCTTTAAAAAAAAATCCATGACTGCTCATGGATTTTGAATCCATTTCTTCATATTTATCCATCCTCACAATGTAAAAACATTAACGTAATACTTGTAAATTAAGTAATCCTTATTTCTATTGTTTGACTACATATACTATATAACTACTATATATGGAATGATACTTGGGTAAGAATGGGAATTAACAGGCACACACACAGGCTCAAGATAATTTTTTGTATAGTTTGCTTGAAATCACTGCAACACATTACCTTGCTGTTTGTGACACAAAAGAACAAGTTTCAGGAGTGACTTTCTGTACTAAAATTGAAATAATGGTGTGTGTGTGTGTGTGTGTGTGTGTGTGTGTGTGTGTGTGTGTGTGTGAAGAGAAGGGAAAGAGGAATTAATTTAATTCCATTTGCTAATGTGACTGTAGTGAGACTATTTTTAGGTATAATCCAAACACTGCATGTCCTCTCCATTCTCATTAGTATAAATTTGGCTGGGATTCAAAAGAATTAGTATTTCTCAGCACATTATCCTATCAACTAAAACTACATTATTCTGAGCCAGTATGGTTAATTGGAATTTACTGTTTTTTGAGGCTTTTCCCCTCTGTATTCAGGAGAACTAAGAGGCCCAACTTTGTTCAAAAGTGCTGCTGGAAACTGAGCATGGTGATTATAGATGATCTTCATTTGAACCCTTCATAGTTCTTGTTCAAATTTGGGTTCTAAGACTGTGCTGAATACTTTGGGTGCAGAATTTTCGTCACTGTGATTTTGCATATTGCTGGGGCGAAGCCAACACATTCAACAAAAATAGGAAATTAAAATAAATTTAGGAAAGTGTGCTTACCAGGAAAGGGCCTTCACAATAGCCACTTAGTAGTTATTAATAAAATTTCAATTTCAGAGGTGTGGACCAAAACCTAGTTGCAAACTTTTTTTTCTTCCCAACACTCACATAAAATACCATTAATAAAAGAAGTTAAGTTCACCAAAGGTTAAAGCTGAAATTCTTGTACTCTACATACACCATTAAACTCACAATTTTCATACTGTTGGGAGCATCAATATATTTTTAAAGGTAATGATCATTACATTACATGGAACCTTCTAGTGCTACACTTAAACATCACTTGCAAATGTGGCATAGTGTGTTATTGGACACATGATCCGCTTTTTTGATCATTAAAATTTATATACATAGCACCCAAGAAAAGCAAATGTGTATACTATACACAAACATACTTAACATCGGGACTTTCTGCATATTGGTTGTACCTTTCTATTCTGTCATATTCTCTCTTTCACTCCATTATGCAGTATCTTAACAGAGTAAACATGTTTGGCAGTCTGTCTTCCATTGTTAATCTATGTCTGTTTTTCTTCAAGAGAAAGAGACAGAAAGACACAGAAAGACAGAAAGAGACAGAGCCATAAAGATGCAGAAAGAAGAAACACGAAGAGAGAAAGAGACAGAGAAAAAAAGAGGAAGACATAGAGCGAAGAGAGAGAGAAAGACAGAAAGAATAATTTTCATGAACGTTTGGAATCATTACCACAGCCCTGAGTAGATATAATCATCTGCTCAGAAAAACTGTGAGAAACCTGTTGAACACAGAATCTTCTTGGTCCTGAATAAGTATAAAATTAGCTAAAAACTATAGTATTTTCTTTGGGAAAGAGATACTGTTATTAAGTAATAAGTAATGCTAAGTAATTAACTACTTTTGCTTATCTGTTGTAAAAATTCAGTAAACTTTCTAAGTTCTCCAAGTCTCTAGATATTAAGGGGCTATTTATACCGTTTTTATTCAGGGAAATTTCTTACTTAAATGGGAAGGTTAAACTGAGTGGATCAGGAAAGCAAAGCATCTGTTTGTTGCCACAAGGTCTGCTAGGCAAAATGGTTACATGGCTATTAATATTCTAGACTAACAGCAGATAAGGAAGGGAGGGAATAGAACTGTCTTAAGCTGTCTCACCTACTTTTTTTTTTTAAAGGACTGTATTCATTTTGCTGTCTCAGTATTGGCGTAGAGTTTTAAACTTTGTAACAGCTTCTGTGTAACTGTGGAAGCTCATGCTACTGTTCATGCGACCTATTACTGTTCACTAAAAAGTTAATATTTATCTTAATTCAGTGTTGAGTACAGGTTACTTAAACATCCCACCAAAAGAACGGTATTCTATCCTGACTTAACATAACAGACGAAGAGATATATGAGTGTTAACACTTAGCATATACTAAGATGGAACTTTGGCTTGCTTATCATAAAATTATAAAAGAAAAACTCTTAGAAGTACAAAAGTAGGAATCGTTATTTTGCAGGACAATCCTTCACTGGGAAGAATTTCACAATACTTTCACTAAAAACAAATTACAAAAATATTCTGGATACTTTTACATGTTATGAAGCTATTAAATAAGGCCACCCCCTCTCCTTCCCCCATCTGTGTACAATCCCATAAATGCCACATTGGGTGTCCCAAAAATCTTAGTGCAGGGATACCTTGTATTATCTGTCAAGTAGGTTTTATCTATCCATCTGAAACATTGCTGCAAGGATTGATTAGATAAATAAATGGGGGAAAACCACTTGAACGGAAAATATTTTTATAAATAATCATTTGACCATGGAAGCATTTTACATTCAAAACAGCCATTAGAGAAATATACATACTATATACTGAACTTTGTAGGCTACATATTAGAAAACCAAGGAATTACTGATTTCATTTAAAGCAGGTAACACATTATTCAATCCACATATAGTCTACCCTATTTCTTTTGTGCAAAGTAGCAGTTGTTTTACCTGTTGTTCTGAAGATTGTATTTTGAAGGTAAAATCATATTTCTTTACATAATCCAAAATGTTACCTTTTAAGAAGAGGCAAGTACAGCATATGGGAGCCTGCCGTACTAGAAATGGTTTGGAAATGCCTTTGAATCTGCCTCTGAATTTTGGAGGAAAATTAGAAGCTTTCAATAGGAATATAGCTTTATTTGGTCTAGACCACATTTTGCCACGCTTTTATGTCAGGAAAGGCTATTAGGAATAGTTGCATTGGAAATCCAATCCCTTTTGCAAGCAAAACAAATGCTAGTCTTTTCATTACAGCTGAAAATTGTTTCCAAACCCTTACAGACACACTGTACATATCTTGATTGTGCTGCATTTGTATTTATTGCACATAGACCATTTACTTACACAGTAGTTAGTTGCACCAGAGTATAAATACTTTATAAAATACACAGGAGGAAATAGAAATGACACACAAGTGCTAAATTAACAGCAGATTCACGTGAGCACTTGGACATACAAAAATAATAAAAAAAATCCTTATATTTAAATTTTTAGTATGGATACAGTTACAGTACCATGATAAAATAGTATAAAAAGTAATTTTTTTTGCAATGAAACATTAACTCAATAACATAACAGACAAAAAAAGTAGAGTTTGGATTTCAGGTTACTTTGAACTCCTCCCCTCATTAAAATTTGTGTGTGTGTGTGTGTGTGTGTGTGTGTGTGTGCAAGTAATATCTTCAGTGGATTTTACAATTTCTAACACTGTGCAAAAAGGCATTTTGAACCATTCTTTTTTATTTTCTTTTTCCAAATGTGCAGTAATTTTTCTTGACACTAAGACTGTTTCCTCTCTTCAAATTGTGACAGAGTCACGTGTCACAGAGGCTCGTGCCTGGTCCTTTAAACTAGTATTGATACATACATAATCTGTTTAATATAAACATATCTTTAAAAAAAATCCCTGTGCAATATGCACAGTTTGAGGTAGGAGCCCCTCTGCTTCATCACCATCGCCAAGACGCTAGGTTTGCCGTGCAAAAGGAAAGCCAGGCTGTTTGTTCTAAATAAAACTGTTTTAAAAGGTGAAAATGATTTTTGCATCCTTTCCCCTCTCTTTGTTTAAAGATGTTACTACTCAGACTTTGAAATAATAATGACAAAAACTTTCATGGAACCAAAAAAAACCTGTCCTGTCAAACTGTCCACAGATTCATTTTCTCTTACTTTGACTGGTCCAGTTCCCAGTAATAGGATGGGAACAGCTGATAGTCTTAAAAAGCAGGATTAGTAAGTGCAGCTCTTGGAAAAACCAAGTTCATGGTTTTTCTTTTTTTCTGAATCCCGTATTCTTTTCTCCGTCCCACCTATCTACCCAACTAACACTTTCACAATCCTTGCAGGAAGGATCAGAATTAGAGTGGAAAAGATGAAACAGGCATCATGCCCCACTTCCCCCCAAAAGTCAAGAAGAAAAGTCCAAAAACGCAACACCTCCCCCCCGCCCCCAACTTTCCTTCTGTTCAATGGTCGAGTTGCTTTTGTTTGTCGTGGATGATTCAGATGAGGTATGAAGGATACACTATCACCTGCTTTCGGTCTTGAGTAAACACAGATCCTCTCTTCCCTGTGAAGACAGTTCAGGGCTGTTGGTTTTCTTCCTCTTGGATTTCCAAACCAGTTTCCTGGGTGAGGGAGTGGGGAGGGGGTGGGGGAAAAGCCCCGTTCCCCACACCTCCCCGACGGCCCCCAACCTCGAAACCACCTGCCCGGTCGCCCCCGCCAGAAAGTAAAAAAAAAAAACAAAAACAAACAAGCCCGGCTCCCGCCTCCACCACCGCCGCCCCCTCCCCCCTCCACCAGCGGCCGGTCCTATACCTTGGATTCCGAATACGAGTCTTTGCTGTCCCTGTCCTCCAGACTGGAGTCGCTGTCCCCGGTCGCCCCGCCGTTGCAGCCGGCCCAGGGCTCCAGGTAGTGAAGCGACGAGGGAAGCAGCTCGCCCTGCTCCGCATAGGCGGCCGCAGGAGACGGGGTGGCACAGCCCGCGGCAGAGCTGCCGCAGCCTCCGGCCGTGGCTGCTCCGGAGCCCCCGCGCGACAGCTCCCCGACGCTGGCGTGCAGCCGCCTCTCTGCCTGCCGTGGGCAGCACAGGAGCCGCTTGAAGGCCTTGCGGAAGTCCGGGCTGCGGCAGTAGATGATGGGGTTGAAGGCCGAGTTGGCGTAGCCCAGCCAGTTGAAGAAGACGAAGAGCCAGTTAGGCACCAGGTCTCGGTGGAAGACCTTCACCACGTTGGCGAGGAAGAAGGGCAGCCAGCAGAGGGTGAACACGCCCATGATGATGCCCAAAGTCTTGAGCGCCTTCTGCTCCTTGAGAGCCACGAGGCGCGACGGCCGCCGCTTGCTGGGGCGCCCGTTGGCCAGAGCCGCGCGCGACGGCGGCAGCGCGGGCGCGGGGGGCGGCTGATGGGGCGCATGGGGCTGCGGGGGCTGCGGCGGCTGCAGCGGCGAGGGCGAGGACGGCGGGCGGGGGCCTCTGTAGAAGCGCCGCTCGCAGCGGTCGATCTTCTTCACCTGCTTCTGGGCCTCGCGGAAGACTCGCAGGTAGACGAAGGCCATAATGGACAGCGGCACGTAGAAGGAGACCACCGAGGAGGCGATGGCGTACGCTCGGTTGGTGACAAAGTCGCAGCACTTGGGGTCGTTGTAGCAGAGCCGCGCTTCGTCGCCGTCCGCCCGCCACCAGTGCATGAGGATGGGCAAGAAGGACACGAGCGCCGAGATGGCCCACACGGTACACACGAGCGCCCGCGCCCGCGGCCGAGTCAGCAGGCTCTGGTAGCGGAACGGAGACGTGATGGCGATGTAACGGTCCAGGGCGATGACACACAGCGTCTCGATGCTGGCGGTGACACACAGAACGTCCACCGACGTCCAGAATTCGCAGAAGAAGGAGCCGTACTCCCACCGGCCCCACACCACGATGGTGGCCCCGAAAGGCACCACAAGCAGCCCCATGACCAGGTCGGCGCTGGCCAGGGAGATGATGAAGAGGTTGGTGAGCGTCTGCAGACGCTGCGTCTTGGCGATGGCCACGATCACCAGTACGTTGCCCGCCACGATGAGCAGCACTATCAGGGCCATGAGCATACCCATGCCTGCCGTCCACTGCTGGGACAAGGCCACGGGCGCTGGCGTCGTCGAGGTCAGCAGAGAGGAGGCAGGAGAGGCGGGCACCAGCAGCCGGGCGGCCGTGGCTGCTGCTGCAGTTGCTGCCGCTATCGCTGCCTCTACGCCCGCCCCGTCGGGGGCCAGCGAAGGAGATGACAGATTGTAGGGCTCGTAGCCTAAGCCGAGCGCACCATCTCCCATCGTGAGGAGGAAGTAACTGAAGACGTAGGGTGGGGACGGAGTAGGGACGTAGTTTGAGGAACCCGAAGAGCCTAAGGGGACGGAGAAACAGGTCAGGGTCAGGGCCAGGTCAAGACAGCTGTTGGCAGCAGCGCGGAGCCGGGGACATCCGCGCCGGGTGCCTTCCGCGCAGGAGCCACGCCTGCTGCTGCCTCCCTCCTCTCCCAGGCTGCTGCTGTAGCTGCTGTCGCTGCTGTCGCTGCTGAGACTTCAGCATGTTTCTGAGCGCTCTGGTCTGGCAGCTCCTGCACCCAGCACCCCACCCCAACCCACAGTTAGCTCCCCCCAACACAGCCCTGGAGGCCTCGCGTCAGTATTCTACAGCCAATCAGGGGCCAAGGCACGCCCCTATTTTGTCCCCCACCTCCCTCCCCCGCTTTACTGCCCTCCCACAGGCAATTAAGTGGCTCCGGGGAGCCTGGGGGGGCAAGAGCAGAGAACTCAGCCCCGCGCCCAGGTACTGGGAACCGTGGCTTCGGATCCTTGCCGAGGGAAACTTGTACTCAGACCCCACTACAAAGGGCTTGCTCAGTTTGGAGGGGAGTTTTTTAAGGAGAAGGGCAGTTCGGAAAGTCGGGTTGGAGGAGTTTGACTGTATGTCTGATTCTCGGATCGGAAAACCTGGCGGTGTACGTATTAAAAAACGTCCCCTGGTCGGATGAGACATGGCCAGCCTCAGACCTGCTAGTTCAGGGGATCAGAGAAGGGTCTTATTTGTTAGAGAGAAACTTTCAAGCAGTTATACATGGGAGTGGGGGTGGGGGAATAACAATACATCTGTCAGGAGCACTTTCTGGGCGCTATTCTTCTAAGAAGCTCGTTTTATTCCAGTGCGGTAGTTACATAAAAGAAGCGAAGGTTGTGCATCTAACGATGGAGACTAGTTGGAAAAACACACACACCCAAATCCCAGCTAATGAATGTGTAAGTATGATGCAACTATGTGTGTTGATAATATAAAGAGAGGTTTAAGGAAACACAAATGTTAACGTACAAAGTAAATGACACTTCAACAAAAAAGAACGTGTTTAATTACATTTCAAACCTTTTACATTCGATAATAACACCTGTATTTTGTTTTGTTACTCACATGATTTATTATTCTAATTGGTTCAATACAAACAAAAAAAGTACTGTCAGATTGGGTTGACGTAATGAACAGAGACTTCTGATTTCTCAGTTTGATCAGTTGTTTTCTCCTTTGCCCAAGTTCCCAGATTCTTAAAACTCTGGGATTAGTTTTGTAAGGATGAGAAGAGAAAATATGTAAATACTCAAGAGGATTAAAATCCCAAAGCATTTAAAGAAGTATACCAATGACTTTTGAATTGACAAAAGAACATGTTTCAAATTAGGCAGTTGTTAACCCTTCTGAAGTGAGGGTAGGTATTATCACCATCACACAAAAGCAGCAGAAGAAAAGCAACTAGCTTTATTTAACTAAATAAAGGTAAATATCAAAACTCAAGGAAGAAAAACATGAACCTGAAACTATATAGCCTTGATTATAGGCAAATATCTTTTAATTCCATGTATATATAGAAATACTGGATAATGAGCAAATATATATACACATATTATATATATAATATATATATATATATATATATATTCACATGTATGCCCACATTATAAGAATAAGAAATTGCACGCCTGCACTGAAATCTGGCACCTGGATGGAACCCAAATTCTTCACTAGCAGAGGAATTGTTTTTTACAACCATATTGGAGTGCTTAGTTCTACAAGCATGCAGTGCAGATGCAATAAACAATGTCTGTTAAATATTGTAAGGTCACTTCTCAGACATAAAGATTTTCCGTTTCTTCAATTCTGCCATAAAAATTGCTTCAGGCCCAAACCTGACCTACAAGAGGACACCATTAGGGAGTGATTTGTTTATTCTGCATTTGTTTAACCCTGCCCCTGAGATTTACCAGCCCAAGTCCTACCATTGGAGTAACCACCCCAAGGTAACTACAAACCTGCCCATCTTCCTCCTTAACTGGAGAGAGTCTCAAAATAGATCAGGGCCCTGGAGAGGATTGGACGTGTTGGTGCCCTGTGATGGGGAGGGAATGGGAAGGCTGTCCATCAGTCACCATCACTGTCAAATGTTACAGGAATAGATTGTACTGGCCTTAAGTATCCCAGAAGGGCAATATACTATTGGTTGCATTACTATGAGAGATAAGGACAGAATTTGGTTTTATGGGCATTTAAAGGCTTAGTTGTTAATAAAATTGACTATAATTATATGCAAGAATGCTCCAAATAACAAGTATATGACCTATGTATTACAAGACTCTAAATGTAAGCCTTCCCCATTTTTAGGGAATTCTTACAGCAGGGTACTCTGATTCCCTATTTTAGATATATGTTAACACCATGAATATTCAAAACCAAAAAGTGACTTACATTATTGCTGACAGATCTTTAGAATAAAGTACAGTATCACAGTCTGAGGATAAATATTAGAACTTCCCAGTTGAATTTGGTAAGTTGTATTGACTTTAAGAAACCAAAAAAGAAAAAAAAATGGGACAATTAGTAACCGTTTTGGACCTTTAATATAATTATATGGTTTTATACTTTAAAAATAGTCCTTCATTTCCTTCTTTTGAGAAATTCAGGTAGACTTAGCATTGCTTTGTTATGGCTTCTTGCCCTTAAGTATACCAGGTCAAGAGAAGAAAGTTCAATATAAACATCTACATTGTTCTTACTTCTTTCATAGGTCATGACTTAATATTTAAAATAGTTTTTTCCTTTCCCTGGAAGCAGTTTTTTAAAAAAGATCTCTGTAATACACTTTTTTAGGAACATACCCATGTAATAATTTAGATTGTCATCTAAACACATTGCTCTAAAGGGAATATCAATAGTACATTTTGAAAGACTGAGTATTCCTTTGCAATGTTTGAATCCATCTTTCCTTACCTTCCCCACTGCTGTTACCCCATGTCAAGCCCCTTATCACATCATGCCTTAATTACTGCAGTAATTTCCTAACTAATCTCCCTGACTCCAGTCCTCCCCTCCTGTCCAGTTAGCACCCTTGCAGCATGACTAATCTTATTAAAATACTTTAATCATTGATCGCCTCTGCATGAAAATGTCCAGTGACTCCCCAAACTTCAGCCTGATCCCAACCTGACTTTCCAGGTTTAGCTACCACCTATCCCTCACCTTAAGGTGAGGTCTTACCTCTCTACCACTCTTGTTCATGAAATGCCCTCTGTCTTCTGGGTCCATAAAAATCCTACTGGTTCCTTGAGATTTAGCCTGTATTAAGCTTGTTCCATATAGTCTTCCATTACTACCCCAGACTGAAGTCATCTCTGATTTCTCTAAATTTTTACACTTCTCATTTTGTCTAGTTCATTTGTCAGTGGTGCAGTGGATAGAAAACTGTTTTTGGAGCAAGGAGGACCTAGTTTTAAGTTCTACCCATACTGGCTGTGTTATCCCAGGCAAGTCATTCACCTTCTCATTGAAAACCTTAATTTGCAGAGAAGATGCCAACCTAGAGTTCCCTATACCAATGAAATCAAGGGTCTGGTCCCTCTCCTTTTATTTGTGTGTTACCTTGGAACATCTTTTCTAATTGTCTTGAATTGCTATTTAAAGATAGTATTGTTAAATACCTTTCACACTCTCTTCAGTTGTTTCCCAAAATGAAATTGTAAGCCTTTTGGAAACACAGATTATATCTCAGTTAAAATTTTTCTATCCTAGTGGAATTTACTCTTGATGTCTTGCATATAGTTGACAATTACTATCTGTGTGACCCTGGGCAAGTCACATAACTTCCATTTGCCTCATCTGTAAAATAGGGATAATAATATCACCTACCTCCCAGGGGTGTTGTGAAGATCAAATGAGATAAAAATTGTAAAGTGCTTAGTACCTTGCTCAGCACATAGTAAGTGCTAATGTGAATTTATTAGTATTAGGAATCAAAATATTTGTTAGTTTGATTGAAATTGCTAAACTAATACAAGTAAAATCTGTTTTAGCAACTATATTATGCATTCATATTTTAATTTGTGGTGATTCTTCATATTTCCATATATTTTATTATTAATAAATATTATTATTTTATTATTAGTGATTTATTATTATTATTTTAAAATCCTTTAAAATCTCATTTCATAATAAGCTTGTAAGTGAATTTGTATAATGAATTAAATGGATGCATTTATTGATGATACATAACTTTCTAGAGGTTCACATGAATTAACAAGCAATTTTATTACTTATTGCTTTGTTACTTATTACTACTTATCTAGTATTGTACTAAACACTGGATACAAGGAAAGGCAAAAACAGCCCCTGCCTTGTGCTCCCCTAATGGACAAGACAACATGTAAATAAATAGGTACATGTGAGATATACAGGGAGTAGATAGAAGTTAACCTTAGGGAAGAATGCTCTGACAAGTTAGGAGGACTGGCAAAGGACTCCTCCAGAAGGTGGAGTTTTATCTGACTCTTGACAGAAGCCAGGGATTCTAAGAAGAGGGGATGAGGAGGGAGAGAATTCCAGGCATGGGGGATGGCCAATGCTTGATCAAGGAAATGGAAATTGGAGAGTTGTGTGTGAGGAATAGCCAGCAGGGCAATAGAGCTGTATCTTAGAGTGTGTGGAGGTGGCCACCTCCAGTTGTCCTGGGGTGTATCTGGCCACTGGGCCCAGATGACTCTGGAGGAGAAAGTGAGGCTGGTGACTTTGCATAGCCCTCCCTCACTTAGATCCAATTGGCTTGCATGTCCTGGCATCACCTTCATAATGTCATGATCCTCTTCAAGAACGAAGGAGAAACAATGGAGCGTGGGGAAGGGGAGTAAAATCTAAGAAGATTGAAAAAGTAGGAAGGGGTCAGGCTGTGAAGACCTTTGAAGGACAAGCAGAAGATTTTATGTTTATAAGTGATAGAGAGCCAGCAGTTTATTAAGTAGGAGGGTGACCTGGATAAACCTGTGCTTTAGGAAAATCACTTTGGCCATTGAGTGGAGGTTAGATTGGAATGGGGAGAAACATTAGGCAGGGAGACTAATTAGAAGGCTATTTGCAATAATTTCAACAAGAGGTGATGAGGACCTAAAGAAGAGTGGTGGCTAGGTGAAAGAAGGAAACATAAGAAAGAAGTTGTGAAGGTAGAAATGATGAGGTTTGGTAACAGACTGGATATAGGGGGTAAGTCAGTACTGGGATGAGATGGGCCCAAATCTTCACAAATGACCATGACGAATGAACCTTTATTGTTTGTGTATACATGGTACCACATGTCCTGTCAGCCTGGAACTAGGGGAATAGGAAACAGGTGACTTGAGATCTAGACCCAATTAAATGGTTACAGAGCAGTGAGCAATAACGGCAATGGTTGTAACACATGGCTCTTCCAAAAACATCTTGTTCTCTTAATG